TATATTTTTTTATTTATATATACAAGTTGCTTTAGCATTTTTTTTTTTACGATGCGCATTCTGATTAGTTACATATTATGTAGAATATTACAATATATTATGAAAATACTTTTTGCTGATCATATAATAGGATTTAATTATTAATATAAGGATTTTAGTTTGTTTAAAGTCATAAAATGTAATATTTTAGATATGTTAGCATTTTAAATTATATAAAAATTTATTATGATAAATCCTTTTAATCAAATATATAAACCTTTATAATAGATAAATGTAAAATTACAATTAGATTAGTGTAATTATTACTTTTAGTTTTATAAAAAATATATATAAAAGGTTAATATATAATAATAATATAATACATAATAATATATATGTTATAACTCAGATATAAGATGTCTATTAATATACTTAATTTAATAATATTAAAATTAATTACATCAATTTGACATTTATTATAAATAATTACATTTATCAAAATACAATTTAATTAGTAATTTATCAATTTACTTTAAAATATATAATAAATCATATGATTTATAGTATAATTTTAATAGCAAACCTTTTAACTATTACTTAAATTCAACCTAAATATAATTTAAACTTTACTTATCATATTCTAAACTTAACCTAACAAATCTAAATTTAACTTTAACTCAATTTAACCTTTAATTCTAATAATATAAATATAAATTTAATATATTAAATTTAATTTTATATTTAATTAAAAAATTAATTTATAAATTTAAATAAATTAAAAAAATACTAATTAATTACATTATAAATATTTTTATAGATTATTTTATAATTTATATAGTTTAGTATTAGAAATTTATTAAAATGAATAAACATTTAAAATTAAATTTAAGTTAAATTTTTATAAAAACATTAATAATAAATTAGCAATAAAATAAATTAGAGTTAAGATTAAAGCTAAAGTTAAAATTAAGGTTAGGTTAATTATTAATAAATATCAGATATAAATTAGTATTAGGATTAAAATTAGAGTAAGGTTAGAATTAGGATTAGATAAAAAGTATTAAATATGATTTGTATTAAAATAGATTTAGAGTTAAACTTAAATTATTTATACAAAGGATATCCAAAAGTTTCTGAACAGTTTTTCACTTAATATATAATGGAAAATTTTAATGCATAAATTATTAAAGCTTAATTAATATTTTATTTAGAGCATAATAAGCTCTACATTTTATATTAAGCAACTAATACTTAGTTGTACCTCTTTCCGCTAAAATTATCACCTGTATTTGTCTCAATATGAGTAGTATATAGTCATCAGTTTTGTGTTTTTTTATTTATTACTAAACGTTTAAACTTTCTACACTAGTTATTGTTAATTAAATATAATCATCTAGATCGATATTTAGAATCTATAAAACCAGTTCATCATATTGTTTTAATGTATCAAAATCTGTTGTTTTTCCAGTTTCAGTAATTTTTTGATATGAATCTTTACGTTAATGACAATAAAATATTACCTCACATTATTCTATGATTAATTTATTTTTTTTCTTATTTTTTTGTGAAGCGTAATAAAATAAATAAATCAGGTGATTTATGATATTATATGCAAACATAATGTTTATGCATAAACAAACTAAATGTTAATCATTCTTTTTATAGTTATTGATTACCAAATAAGTTGTTTAGAAACTTTTATATACCCTCTATAAAAAAAAATATTAAATACTAGTTAGTATTAAATTTAAAGATTAAGGTTAGGTTAGATATTTATAAAAAATCAAATATGATTAAAAATAGCATAATTGAGTTGCAACTTATGATATAATTAAATTTACTTATGATATAATTAAGTTACAATTTAATTGAAATTTGAAAATAATTATAGAAACCAATTTTAATGATAAAGGTTTAAGTATTTATACTACATATAAAAATCTTTTTTAACCAAAAAATTAGCAAAAGTATTGATTTGAAATAGTGTAAAAAAAATTGAAAAGAAGAATGGAAACAAGTGGTATGATCAAATGAGTTAATATTTGCTCTTTTGAAATCAAGTAGTCATGTAAGAGTTTGGAGATATCTTAAAGAAGCTTATAATAAAGATTATATAAAGGGTGGACAAAAGTATCTGCATACCTCCATAAACGTGAATTAATGTTAGTAAAGTCATATGATCACAATAACAAATTGCGTTTACATGACACTTAAGTGTTTACTTATATTATAAAAATAAAAGAATAACAAATTTGTTTTTTTTTTTAATAAATTTTTCTTCTCTGAAAGTCTAAAAAAAATGGTAAAAATTAAAGAATTAACCAATGATTTTTCAAGCGAAAAAAAATCTTTGTACATTATCTTGGCCAGCTCAAAGTCCCGATCTTAATCCAATTGAAATCTTTAGGCTGAAGTCAAGAAAAACATCTGAGCTTATAAAAAACCTCTATCTAATCTTGCTGATCTTGACTGATATGTTAAAAAGGCATGGCAGGAAATTCTGAAGCATACTATCGAAAACCTAGTCGATAGTATGTCACAACGAATTTAAGTGGTGATTGTGACAAATGGTGACCCAATTAAGTACTAGTTACTTAGCACAAAATGTAAATATTAATCAGTTTTAATAAAAAATTAATTGACTTTTTATTGTTATTGCAAAAATATTTTAAGTTTTATATTGAGTGAAAAAGTGTGCAGATACTTTTGTCCACCCTCTGTAGTAAATATAGTAAACAAAATATAATAAATAATATTTTATAAAAATTCTAAATTTCTAAAATTTATAGTAAAATAAAATATTATTAAAAATTGTATTAAAATTCATGAAAAATCTATAAAAATAAATTTTTAGCATTTTGACTTTTTAATTATTAAAGACTAAATAATTTTAGTTTTGTTAAATGACTAAATATTTTAGTTTTATTTAGCATTATTAGTAGTTGGTTCCTTTTAATACATTTTTGCTTTGAACTTAACCATAGTTTTTGAATTATTTTAAAATTAAATAAATTATAGATAAAAAAATTATTTAAAATGTAATTTTTAATTTATATATATATACACTCCCTCTAAAAAATATCTGACTACTTATTAATCATATACTGATCATTTGAAATTATAGCTGATTTTAACATTTATTATTTAACAATTTATTAATAAAATTTTTACAAAATTTATATATGTAATGCAAAAAAACTCATATTTTTTATTTATATTATTAATATCTAGTTGAATTGCTACGACTATCTATTACAGCTTGAACTCTTCATAGTATACTTTTAACTAAATTTACTAAAATTTCAGATTTGATTTGATTCAATTTCTCTTCTAAAACTATCATTAATTCCCTAATATTTTTTGAATGAGCTTTGTGTACCTGAACTTTTCTTTTTAAAACATCTCATAGATATTCAATTGGATTAAGATTTGGGCTTTATGCAGGTCACAGAAGACTTAATATTGAATTACTCTCTTTCTATTGATTAACTGCACTTGCTCTATGAACTGAAGTATTGTTATCTTGAAAAATATATTTTAAATTATTTTCAAAACTGTTATAAAATAGTAAAAAAGTTTTTTTTAACATATCAATATATATAGAACCTGTAATTCTACCAAGAACTTGAATTAAAGGATCAAGTCTATCTTTCGTAAAACCTCTCTATACTATAACACCTTAATTTCCTGATTTTACTGTTAAAATTAAACAATTTACATTAAATTTTTCATGTGCTTATGTCAAACCCAATGATAAGCATTATTTTGGAATAATAAAAAATGGGATTCATTACTCTATATAATTGAATTCTACTTAGAATCTCAATTTCTTCTTTTACAATACCATTTTAATTTTTTTTTACGATTTACTTCAAAAACTATTAGTTTTCTCTTACCAACTTGACTAAAAAACCCCTCAGAATGTAAAACACTTCTTACAGTATTATAACATACTGAATTTATTAATAAATCTTTAAATTTTTCTATTATTTCATTTAAAGATTGTTGACAGTCTTCTTTAACGATTTTTATAAATATCTAACATCTCTTTCTATTAATTTTGGTGGCCTGTCTGGTTATGGAATAGCTGTAGTTTGGTTTTTATTTTTGTAACTGATTATTATATCATGAATGGTTGACTAGGATGTTGAAGAATGGATTCAATATTTCTTTCACTATGACCTTCTTTCCAAAATCCAATAATCTTTCCTTGCTTAAAATCAGAAAGTTGATTCCTTTTAGACATATTTTTAAAAAAAGATTTTTTTATTTTCAAACTATTTGTAACTGTACCTACATGAGAAAAAAAAATTTTTTATTTATATACATTAGTTGTGACGTAATTCAAATTTTAATATGTTAGGATTTGCAATGATCGATGGGTGATCGGATATTTTTTGGAAGGGAGTATACATATATTTTTTATTATTTTAAACTTATTTTTAATAAATTTTTTTTTAAATATTGTTAATAAAAAAAATATTTTTATAATTTGAATATATTATTTATTATATTTATTATTATATTAATATATTTTTATAATAGATACATAATAATATATATATATATTTTTGTATTTATTATATATTATATATTTGAATTTACCAATTATATTTTTATCCAATATTTGGTTATGTTTATATTATTGAATTCATTTGTCTAAAAACTATTATCAGGTTTTTCTTTTACTAAGATCATATATTATAATTTATCATTACAATTGAAGAAATTATTGAAACCAGCTTTATTCCTCGTTGCATATTAAATATAATATCTAGCAGAAGCGTATGATATTAAAATTCATAAGGTTTGAGTATTGTAATTAGAATGATCATAAAACAATTTCACAGATCCTTAATTAATATTTTTAACCATGAAAATCAAAAGTATTCGAGGATTGAACTTATAATTAGAAATTTCGCTTGCAAAAACATTTATTCCACGATCTGCATCGATCTCTTTATTATCATTAATTATTATTAAGGTTAAAAAAAACTTTTTTTATGAACTCCCATCATCATCTATGTTTTAGTATCAGACTTGATTCTAAAGAAAGTTAATCCCAATTTGCCCTTGAGAAGTTGTTTCTCGTAAATTTCTTGATCTTGTAAGGTCCAATTTATACCATCGTTCAACTTTTTCCTAAATAATCTATTTTAATATAAATAATATTAATATATAATAATATATATAAAATGTCCTATAATATCAATACATACCTTTTCCATTCACGTGTATCACCTGAACAACTTGATATGATAAATGCTGTATACACCGGTAAACTAGAGTAAATATTTGCAATTCTTTCATTAAATCGCTTTAATGTTGTTAATCTATCTTCTATGTGCTCAGGCAAGTCTTCTAGATCTTTAAACTTTCCCCAAATAAAATTATGATAATGGTTACTTTTATCGGTTACAGAATTTAAAATACCTGAAGAAACCTAAAAAAAAAAAAAAATTCCCTAATATCAATAACCACGTGCAATGAACTTTATCATAATATTAATATAAATATAAAACCTCATCATCATTTGTACATGTTATTGAACGCTTTGCGCAAGCACCTAACAATTGAACTTTACCACCATAATCAATAAACGCAGAAGTCTTATTATATCTTTCAAGACGCTGAATTATACTTTCATATGATTTATCAAAATCTAGTCCTATAACCAAAACAAAGTCAATTTAATTATAAAGGACGACTAAAATAAAACGTTATATAAATTTACCGTCGTTCAATTTTAACTTTACAAGATCCATTGTTGCCTTTGCATCCTCAACAGAATCATGGCCGGCAATTACTCCTCCAACCTGAATGGAACGATTAAGCCATTGATGTGCTAGCATTTTCAAACTTGACTTATTAAATATGCCTCCAGGGTTTGTATAGAGAATTGACGTGTCTATTATATATGGGTGCGCAAACTTGAGAGAATGATTGTAAATTATTGAAAATGAAACAAAAAAAATATAAAGAAAAACTAAACAGCGGAAAGGAACAAATACCTTTAAGGCTTTCAAATCACATTCCAATGAATGACCGACTAAAACAGTATCGCACTCCACTAGTTCTAACAACCGATTTTGTACATCTTTTATAGTCGTTGTTACGCCTTTTAATCTTTCTTCAGTTATTCCACTGTACCTGATGATATCATATATGTTAATATTATTAATTATAACGATAGTAAAGTATACGAAATAAAAATTTACGGGGTCAAATAGTCGGTAATAGGTTCTTCCGGCATGACTAATTCATCATAGACAACATTACAATCAATGTCAACTATAGACACACGAGTTAAAACAGATAGAGCATTCGATAAACACTATAATAGAAATAAAAATTATCAAAATAACTTAAAACTAAATATCGGTAAATAAATTTAATTACCATCTCGCAATCGACAGAAAGAACTCTGAATTTCTTTCTAGAAAGTTCATTTTCATTTTTTAAAATATCAGATGAACTCATAGGTACTTCAACCCAACCATCAGGTAAAACATGGTCTTTTTCCATACAAGTTGGTAAAGGATAATTATTATGTATCATCTCCTCAGGTGTTAGTAAACATAAATAAATCCGCTCATGAATATCATCTGCCAAATAACAAAGTTAATTATTGAATGGCAATAAACAAATTAAATTTTTAAATTTGTCATACCAGGAAATTTTCTTGGACTTATTGACTCTTTTTGAGCATCAGATAAAGAACAATTAAAAAGACATCCCATTGGGTTATATATTTTTTTTGCATCACCAGAAGCTCGAGTAATACACCCGTGTGAAAATATTTGTGGAAATATCGGCAGGAATTCACGAGGATTCAAATCAGGATCACCAAAAAGACCTTTCTCTAGAAGTTTTTCCCAATCCAACGGTCTTTCTGCTTTTACAGCGTCTTTTGCAGTTATTCCAAATAAACTTGGATCAAGGCCGGGTATCATAAGAAAAACGACTTTTTTAATGTTTTGTATATTCTGTTAAAAAATAAGTAATATTGAAAAAAAAAATTGTATAAATATACACATATAATTAAGTATATAAAAACCTAACCTCGATATAAAGCCATTGTGGACATCTACCCTCTTCAGTAAGTAAATGCAAAATAAGATTTCTTAGTTCCTGTAAATTCAGCAAAATTAAATCAAATTTTCATAATACAACTTTCAACTTTGAAAGTTAAGAAATAAAACCTTGATTTCTATTATTTTCCAACGGTTTACATCGAAGAAAAATTCAGGATCACGAGACCTTACAGTAGCCTATATAGAAAATTTATTTATTACTTAAGTTATACTAATTGAACATTAAAGATCCCGATTATGTGTAATATAACGCGTTTGTAAAATTATTACATCGTTCGTTCTCGCTTTCTTTTTTTTATCTGTTTAATTAGATATAAAATAAAAGGGATTAGACGCTAAAATAGACTCCGTAACCTAAAAAAGATACTAATTTTATTACGATGATAAGGCTTTGATTTGTCTCTTGAGATACGCGCTCGCGAGGAAGTAAAAAAATCCATGGCAGTGGTTATTTTTCGAATTTTGGTTTTTTTTCCTTCTGATTCAGCATTTTCTTCAAAATCATTTGATCTTTTTGCAGAATTCGACATTATGATAAGCGAAAAATTTTCTATTTCTAAAATTAAAAAAAAAAAGTCTTTTTATGTTGATTTTGTTATGGCGCAGGTAGTGATCGACCAGTTCCGATTTTTATCGGTTTGACAAGAAAAATTTTTTTTTTTTATTCCCATCAAACCTTTGACCTGAAACAGTTTCGCCTTATTATGCATCCCCACAATTTTAATATTAATTTATAAATTTTCTACTATCCTATTTTCCGAAATCCAATGCTCCTTCATTACAAATAATTGTCCTTGCTGTGATATCGCTTGGATTGTTAAATTATCTTTGCGACAATATCGGATATGAATTTTCACCAAATTAAAGGATTGGCACTACTATCTACCGGAGAATTTAGATATCTATCTAATTCATCACTTGGATAATAATTTTGATTAGCAAATTAAGAAATATTCCCAAAATGATAATTTTTTTTTTGATATTGTTTGATTATTTAAGTATATATAATTCTTGTAAATTATTAATAACTCCAGCTAAGTCATTATTATCAAATAATGTGATTTTATAATGCGAATGAAATTTAAGTGTGATTTAAATGATCATCTCAATATTTTTTATATTTGTTGTAAAACAGCTATTTCTTTTTGTGTGATGACCTCCTTAACATTCCAATCATATATCATCATGAGTAGGATTTAATGATAATGTAATAACTTATGTTGCTTCATATATAGATTGTAAAATTAATAATAATTCCTAATAGTTAAGTATATAAAATAAATAAATAAATATAAAATAATAATTATAATAGTAAAATAATAAATATCTTAATATGATCCATTCAGAAATTGTTTGAAAAAAGATTGTCAAAATCTTTAGAATTTGTTATTATAAGCAGATCAGAAACATTCTGCATTAAAATTTGTCTAGCAATTATCAAATATGCTAGGAAATGAGAATCATTGTTAAGTTCAAAATGATTTCAACTAAAAAATTCACCTTTATTAAACTTTTGTATAATTACAAAACCAATCAGCATTAACTCAATTATTGAGTAAAAGATATATTTGTATCATCATACATAGAATTATATAGTTCTTTATTATACTTCAGACTAATAAAATTCCAACAGGTATTAATATTTAAAATTGGTTTTAGAAATTTAACCTTTCTAATAATAGTAAATATTTTATTTTAATAATAAATTGGTAAAATTTTTTGATTTTATCTTCTAAATATTTTATTTCATTTTTTATTACTAAATTAATAATGTGAGTAGAATAGGAATAAAAATAGTTTTATTAATTTCATTCTGTTCCTTTAAAACTTTGAATATTAAGTTAAATTTATATTAATAAAGCATTAATTTAAAAAGATTTTTTGACTGATTATTAAACAATTGGCTTATTAATATCTTTATTCTAATAATAATTCAATTTTAAGTTAACTTTTAAAACTAGTTTAAAATCAATTTTGATTTAATTTTTAAAATTAATTAAAAATAGTTTGTAATTCAAAAAAACTATAATATGTTGAATTTTAAATAATTATACAGAGTGTTATCAAAAGTTTCTGAATGATTTTTTATGTAATATAAAACATTTAAATTTTAAAACTCAATAAAAAATTTATATTATAACTTTATTTTATGGGTATTAAAGACTACATTTTGTATTATTAAATTAGTATTTAATTAGCCACCTTCTGTCACAATTACTGTCTGAATTCATGTTGGCATACTATCAACTAAATTTTCAATTATACATTTTGAAATTGATTTTCATGCATTTTTAATATCCCTTCAAGATCAGCAAGAGTGAGTAGAACCAGTTTCAGCATGCCTTTTTAATATATCATATACTGTTATTTTGCCACATCCAACAGTTTCTGCAATTTTACTATATGAATCACCATTTTTACAACAAAAAATTATCATACCACATTATTTCGCAGTTAATTCATTATTTTTTCTCATTATTGTAGTTATAGCCATAAGTTGTAAAAAAAAGTGAAAAAGGAAATTTAAAGTTAAAATGTTATTTAAAGCAAAATAAACAAATAAATATAAATGTATGTAAACATTGACTTTTTATATATATTAATCATGTTCCAAAAATAGTGTTCAGAAACTTTTGATAACCCTCTGTAGAATTAACTCAGAAACATTCTTATGAATTGTTCCTATTTTTAATTAAAAATAAATAAAAAGTATATTAAAAAATTTAATTCAATTTTTAGTTGATTATCATATACTATTATATTGCTTTCATTATCTATTATATAATAAAATATTCTGATTATTAAATTCTTCAAAAAATTGTAAAAGTTTACTTATAATTAATTCAGTTTTATAAGAACTATTTATAGAAATTATATTAAGTAAAAGATTCTTTAATTTATAATTATTAATAATATAATGAATTGTTATTTTAAGATAATAATCTTTTAAATTTAATATACATATATTTGTTGTGAGAAATAAATTTGTAAAATTTTTATTATTAAATTATTTTTTAAAATTTATTTACATAATAAAATAAATTAAGAATTTAACTTATTAATTAATTGTTTAAATTTAGTATTTTTAATAATAAAAAAGATTATAAATCAGTTATAATAAAATTAATTAATAAATTTATGATAGAATTATAATAAAAAATAGAGTTTGAAGTACATTTCATTTAAAATAATTTGATAATTTTATTTTTTTTATAATAAAATAAATATTTTTTAGTTAATATTTAAAGGATAATTATTGGATTATTAAATAAATAAATTTTTAATATATAAAATATATTTATAATTAATTGTAAGTTTAGTTTTTTTATCTTAGCTTTATAAAAAAATTTTTACATATTTGTCTTGCAAGTTGTTATATAAAAATTCTTTTTAATTACTAAAGAAGTTAAAAAAATTCTGAGAAATTATTATTATTTTTATTTAAAATTATACTGCTAGATATTTTATAATACAAATAATAATATAAAATGAAAATAATTTTAGCTAAATGATTATTAATTTATCTTACAAATTATGTGATACAACATTTTTAAATTAAATAGATTAATTTTTTAAATTGATCTAAAAATTAATTACAAATTAGTTTAATTTAGTTTAGTTTTAATTTAATTTGATCCTCAAATTAAACTAAAACTAATTCTAAAATCAGATTATAGTCAAATTAATTTTAGCTATAAAAATTAACATTTTTAAGTATAATATATTTTAATATTAGTACTATTAGTACTATTATTATTACTATCTTTAAATTATAACTTTTAACTTATTAACTTTAATATTAATATTATATATATAAAAGTTTTATTTTTATATTATTTTATTATTAAAATTATATTTTATAAAAATTAATAATATAAATAAATAAGAAAAAGATTTAAAAAACTATTATTATTAATAAGTTTGAAGTATAAGTAAAGTTATAGATAAAATCTAAAGGTTTTACAAGTCATCTAAATAGAAAAAGATAAATTTTATCAAAATTAGAGCTCTGAATTAGGTCAGGTTAACCTGTTTACCTAACTTGAACTAACCTGAAAATTCAGATCAAGTTAATAGATTTTCAGGTTGATATC